AGAATGACCTTGGGCTTCTAGAAAGGAATGTCTTATTTTGACAACAACACATTCGACAATTCTACTCCTTGCTATTTCCCCCTCCCAATTACCCCACTAATGAAACAGCATAGTAAAATAATAGAGAGTGTGGCAGGCCAAAGATCCTAAAAGGAATATGACTGCAGGCCTGACAGAGGAAGGAGTGAAAGAAAAAGTTCAAAGTATACCATTTCAGATGTGAACTGGATATTTTTCCTCTGGCGGAAAACAAGGAAGAATTAGGCTATTTTCCAGCGAGCGTTGATCCCACCATGAATCAGAAGAAAAATGATACAACCTGTTCCATGTTCTTTTATAGTCCATTCTCCTACTACCATGTTTCTATCCTGCTCCTGTTCATCCCCAAGTGATATGCATAACTCTCTCCATTCCCTGCTTGCAGCCAAGAATATTTTTCAACTGAGAGCTCACATGTATCAAGCAAGAGGATTAATTGCAGCAGATAGCAGCGGCCTCTCGGATCCTTTTGCTAAAGTGACTTTTGTTTCACACTGCCAGACCACAAAGGTAAGGGGAAATGGGAATAATTAATGTAGTTAGAGCAGAGTTTCTCCCAGAAGCATTCTTATTAGGACGACTAGAACAAAAAATGGATAAACAATCTCAATACATAATCATACACATACTCACTGCAGCCAGGATTGCTTTCGCACAAAACTGGAAAAAAAATTAATACACCCTCAGATGAAACAACAATTAGAAAAGTACTCGAATGTGCAGAAATGGACAAAAAGACAATAGAACTAAAAGAAAGAGAAGAATCAGACTTCTATAAAGTATGGAATAAAATGTATAAGTGGCTAGAACTCAGAAGCCAAAACAGAAAATAGAGAATATAAATGTATGGTGATACAAATAAGGAATACTATTATAAGTGTTAATATTATGTTTGTTACATTATAGGACAAGGTTAAAGTAATAGGAAGGCAATGCAGAAGGGAGAATTATAACCAGTGGTGGGTTTCAAATTTTTTTAGAATTTCTTCTGTAGGTGTGGCCTGCTTTGTGGGAGTGGCTTGCCGGCCATGTGACCGAGTGGGAGTGGCTTGCCAGACATGTGACTGGGCGAGCGGGGCCAATTTGTAAAATGTGGTGAAACTCACTTAACAACGCTCTTACTTAGCAACCAAAATGTTGGCTCAGAAACTCTGGCATTTGAAGCACGCAAGCCTTAAAGCTGTCAAGTTACAAGACTCTTGCACCTCTAACCCTTTGGAAACCCCCCCTCCCGGGGTATTCAAACTTGACAGCTTTAAGACTTGTGGACTTCAACTCCCAGAATTCCTCCCCTCGCTCTTCATCTTGATGATGTGCGGATAGGCAGGAAGAGGGAGCTGGAACCGGTTCTAAATGGCACGTAGATTTTTGGAACCTCTTCTATAGAAGAGGTTAGAACTGGCAGGAACCCTCCCCTGATTATAACAGCTAAGCAGGAAAGCTGATATAGAAAGCTGTAAAATTACTGTACATTGTTATGTATGTTCTGTGTTTTGTTTTGTTTTGTTTTGTTTTCTCTCGTTGTGTCTTCCTTACTGTTTTTAAAGGTTAAAACATTCAATAATTTTTTTTTTTTTAAATAGAGCAGTGTTTCTCAACCTAGGGCAGGGGTGTCAAACCCAAGACCAGAGGCCTGGATTTGGCCCACAGGGTGTTTAGATCTAGCCCTCAGGGTTGCCCTGGAAACAGTGAAGGACCAGCCCATGGTGCCTCTGCCAGCAAAATGGCGTTCGGGAATTCTATTTTCGCTGGCAGAGCGCTAGGGTCACCACAGGCGCCCCTGATACGAGTGACATTGAACTGGCCATGCCCACCCAGGCTCCCTGAGTTCAAACACAACCCTTGATGCAGCCCCTCAATGGAATCGAGTTTGACACCCCTGACCCAGGGCATTGTAAAATGTGTGGATTCCCTCAGTTAACATGATGGCTGGGGAATTCTGGGAGTTGAAGTCCACACATCTTAAAATTCCAGAGGTTGGGAAACACTGACCTAGAGGAATGCGGTCGTAGTAAGCTTGATGTGATTAGGTAATGCAACCCAGAAGAAATCCTCCTGCAAGTGTGAGCAGGTGTAGGAAAACCGATTCTGTAACTTGTTGGTTGAATAATTAATAGTGCCAAAGTTTTAATTTAAAAAAAAAATTTTTTTTTT